TCAGAGAAAACCTCAGGTGCCTAGATTGGGGTGATATAAAGTCCCAGGATCCTGTTCAGTAAGACTGGGACTTTGACAGGTCCATATGGGGGCATGTATCAGGGAACCTACTTTTTTTGCCTTCCCCTGGTGAGAGGGCCTGGAAGCAGTTCCATGGTTTGGTTTCCACTCAAAACCTACCAGGTCTATTATGCACTAATAAATTTTTGACAACTTAGAAGAAATGGAGCAGTTCCTTAAAAATCACAAACCAGCAAACTCAAGCAAGGTGAAATAGTATAACCATAAAATAAATTGAATTCATGAATACAAAGACCCCAAACAAAGAAATGTTTAGGCCCAGATGATTTTATTGGAGAATTCTGTAAAACTCTTAAACAAGAATGTCAATTTTACATAGTCTCTTCCAGAAAATTCTATAAAAGAGAAGGGTATACTTTCCAGCCTATGCTACAGAGCCAGTATTACTTGGATTTCAAATCCAGATATGAACAAGACAAAAAGAAAAAAAACTACAGACCAATATCTCACATGAACTAAGACAAAATTTGCAGCAAAATATCAGCAATCAAATCCAGCAATGTGTGAAAAGGATTCTATGACATGACCAAGGGGGATTTATCTATTTTTTTCAGATATGCAAGGCTGGCTCAACATTTTAAAATCAACCAGTATTATCTATCATATCTGTTGACAAAAAAAAAAAAGCATTTGACAAACTCCCAGCACCCATTTATGATTTAAAAAAACACCTCTCCTGGCTGGTTTTGCTCAATGGTTAGAGCATCGGCCCATGGACTGAAGGGTACTGGGTTCAGTTCTGCCCAAGGGCAGGTACCTTGGTTGCAGGCTCTATCCCTGGCCCAGCGGGGGCATGTGCAGGGGCAACCAATTAATGTGTCTGTTTCACGTTGATGCCCTCACCCCCAGCCTTCCACCCTCTTGGAAACGCAAGGGAAAAAATATCCTTGGTGAGGATTAAAAAATAAAAAACACTTCTCAGCAAACTAGGAATACCGGGGAAGTGCCTCAATTTGGTAAAGATCATCTATAAAAACCCCACAGCAAACATTGAACTTGATAAAATGCTTTATTTGTAAGATTGCAAACAGGCAAAGATATCTGCCCTCATTTTGAAAGTTCTAACCACTGCAATAAAATACGGAAATTAAGGGCGTATAGATAGAAAATGAAATAAAACTGTCTCTATTTGCAAATATGATATGATTGTCTACATAGAAAACCCCAAGGAATCTACAAAAAGAAACAAACAAAACAACCCTCCTAGCTCAGCAAGTTCCTAGGCTATAAGATCAATGCAAACCTTAGACTAGGTCATGCATGCTCATCCTCAGAATACTTTTCTTGGCTTCCTATCTCACTAAGAGTAAACCCACTATCTTCCCAAGGTCTCCTGCATAATTTCGTTCCTGCCTCATTTCTACCACTTTTCCTCTCTCATTTCCCACTGTGTTAGGTAGTAATGGATTCTGTGAAAGTAAACACTGCAGGGGAAGGGGACAGAAACAATGGGAGAGGATCCTACTTTAGATAGGGTGACATTTGAGCAAAGACATGAAGTGACATAGCAAGCCTTGTAAATACATTGGTAAAGAACATTCTAGACAGGGAGCTGCAAGTGCCAGGACCCCAACTCAGCAGCATGCTAGGAGTGTTCGAGGAAATGCTGCCTGGCAAAGGCACATTTGGGAAGCACTGGACTAGAAGTTCCCCAGCATCCCTTCCAACACTGACCTTGTAACTGTGACCTTGACCGGGAGGTTTTCTGGCTTAAGGCATTGTTGTCTAAGGACCTGGCTGCTGGAGGGGTCCTGGGTTTGTGTGGGGTGAGCAGGGGTTCTGCTGATGGAGCCTTGTCTTCAGGATGTGCTTCAGATGGGCGCAAGAGGCAGGCCAGGCTTCCTGAATTATCTGTCTCCTGGGGAGGGGGGAGAGTCATCATTTACGAAATATTTGCTGAGTGACTACAAGCTGCCCCTTGGGGCTGGATGTAAGGAGCAAGGATGAATCAGATACGGTCCCCATCGGCCACAGCCCCAGGGGGCCTGCAGTGGGCTCCCACTCCAGTGTGTGGGTCCAGAGGGCCCTTGGGCAGGGCTCTGCTCTTACTGTGGAACCCTGGAGGGGTGGTTGAGACCTCAGAGCAGCTTACCTCCCACAACCCTGGGGTGCCTTGCAGAGGATGCAGGGAGGCGAATGGGCTGGCCACAAAGCTGGTGGGTCCGGTGCAAAATGAAAATGCAGGACCCTTGTTCACAAAGAAGGAGAAAAGTACTGTTAAAGGTACGTGAAAAGCTTTTTCCTTTCCTCCATGGTCTCTCAATGTGTCACGGTGATTTTCATTTGTTATTTAATGTCCTTCTAAGTTAGGAAAATATTGAAATTTTAAATTATTAGTATGAATTTTACCATTCATCTTTATATTGTACAATGCCAGTTTAAAATGCAAATATCAGAGCATTTGACTCATATATGGAATTATAATTATGCCATTTGGATTTCGCGGCTCGTTTCCAGAGGGGCCTCAAGTGGGCCAGAAGGACAAACTCCAGGCAGACTCAGGAAGGTTGGAAGGAGGAAGAAGGAAGTGCCGACTCTCACAAGTGCCTGGGTCCCCTGCAGCCCTCCATGATGAAGGGCACGTGTGCACATACCCTCACGCCTGACACTTCACACCACATGCTACGTTACCACACTTCACCCTGGCCGGGGGTGGGATCTGGGGAGGTCCAGCCAGGTACCCCAAGGATCTTTAAACCCTTGCCTCAGGATGTGCTCAGTACCCAAGGCCAGGGTAAGCGAGAGGCTTCCTCCTGCGAAGACTCAGCCTCCAGCTGCCGCCTACCAGAGACACTTTGGGGCTGCCAGGCCAGGGGCAAGGAGTACCAGGGGACAGCTGTCACCGTGCTGTACCCCAAGACACCATGGGCACAAGTGCTGACTGACCCTCCCTGTGCCCAGGTCCCTTTCAGGGATAGAGGGCTGCAACAGTTGCAGAACAAGGGTGAGTAGGGGGAGCCCAGCATGCCCTGGGGGACAGGAGAGCAGGCTGCCGAGAACCCACCCTGGGGAGGTGGTGGTATTCAGGACCCAGTGTATGAGCTGAGACTCCATGACCCCCACTCTACTTACAAAACAGATTCAGAGATAAAATTATTAAGACTTTGTTAGTACATGGAGACCCTGAGAAAAGCCCAGAGGCTGAAAATCTGTCTTCGTAAGCAGAGGGCAGGGAAAGACCAAAGAAAGAGGCTGGCCACTCCAGTCTGGTAATAGAGTTTATTAAGGTAAACACATACAAGTCATGTCTTGGGTGGCTTAGACTGAATCGATCCCTGTGCCACTGGTTGGTGTCAAAGAGTTATAGGGAGTAGAGCAGGGGACGAGTCACAGGTACTAGTTCATGACACTACCAGGTACGGGAAATTGCTTCACTTGCTTGACCAGGTCAGGACAACGGCCTGTCCCAGGAACCTGCACATAGCAGGAGGCAAGGGAGGAGTGCTGATTTATGTGAGAATGAACACCAGTTACAATCAGACAATCTCCAGGGGGAGTTTGCAGAAAGCAACCGCTGTTATGGCCCAGGTCCAGCTTGCCACAGACTTTCAGGATGGTAGCCCAGAACATTCATCCCCACGTGCGAGCCCTTGTGAACCTGGGACCCTGTGTGACCGTGTTGGTCACAGGCCCATGAAGCCAGCCTTGGGGAGAAGAGCTGAGGTCATTCTTTGGGTCACTTGGCATTTCTGAGCCTGTTTCCTTTTTGTCAGACAAGGTGGGGAGGCTTACCTGTCATTTAACAGAGGAGGGCTTCTGTAATGTCACATGGGGACGGAGCCTGGGAAACCTGTAGAACCCCAGGCCCCTGTAAGTGCTCTCATGGCGGTTCTGCTTCCCTGTCTCCCCCATCCTCCTGCTGTCAGCTGGCTTCCTCTGCTTCCTTAGGTTCCTCCCTGATGTTTATTGAGCACCTGCTGTGTGCCAGACATTGTGCAAAGCACTTTGCAGACACGTAGTGTTCACAGCAGCCCTAAGCTGTGATAACAGTAGCACATATGAAGGCTTCCTCTGTACCAGGCACCAAGCCAAGTGCTCTTCCCGTGTTGACAGATGTAACCCTCCGACAACCCTGTGAGACAGGCACTGTTAGTCCCTGTCTTCAAGTGAGACCTAATGGGGTTAGATAACTGAGCGAACAAGTTGTAGGTGGTACAGTTGAACTCGGGCAGTGGAGGCCCAGGTGCTGCACAGTTACACCCGGCCTTGTGCCTTGACTCCTGGTTTCTGCCCCTCAGCCCTTCCCCTTGCCCAGGGCCCCTTGGGCACCCCAGCTTCTCTCCGTAGGACACGGCATTTCCGCTTCAGCTTCCCCCGCCCCCAGCCTTGCCTTGGCCAGGTTCCCAAGAGGGGACTCCCACCAGTCCAGCTCACCTCCTCACACTGGTTCCTGTGTAGGTTGCTGCTCAGTGTTTGGAGTAGCTGCTCCAGGAGCAGGAACCCATCCGGACTCATCGGGGCAGCTGTGGCCAGGTCCGGGAGCAGGGGCATGTGACACAGAAAGAACTTGCTGCCCTCTGGCTCCTTTGGCAGGAGGGCAGTGTTTAGTGGTGTCCCTCGGATGGGCTGTGGGCATGGAGAGCCTGGGGCTTCCCATTCTGACCTATCCCATCAAGGTCTGGAGTCGAGACCTCTTCTGAGGGAGGAGCCAACATGTCCTTGACCACCATCTAGGCTTGGAAGGTCAGGAGAGCCTTCCACTCCAAAGCCAGACGCAGGGAGCCCAGCTGGAAACGAGCACCCAGCCAGCGTGGGAGTTACCCCTCCTTGCCTAAACAAACGTGGAATCAGACCCTGGGTCTGGAGGACTTCCTCCGCGCCTAGGGCTTCCTTGCTGCCGCCCTGGCCGGGCAGCTGGCAGCAGTCTCTAGGTTGCTTTCCTCCTCAACCTCCCTTCTCTTCCTCCCTCCACATGGCAGAGCTGCGCCTGGAAGGGAACTTCCTGCACCGCCTCCCCAACGAGGTCAGTGCCCTGCAGCACCTCAAGGCCATCGACCTGTCTCGGAACCAGTTCCACGACTTCCCCGAGCAGCTCACCACACTGCCTGCGCTGGAGACCATCAACCTGGAGGAGAATGAGATCGTGGGTGAGTGGGCACAGCCCTCGGGCCCTGCGCTGCCTCTGTCGGCACCGCCCTCTTCTGCGCTCTCCCAAGCGAAGCTCAAGGCATGGGGGGGCTGTGGAGTCTCTTTCACAGACATGAGGGCAGGGCTGGGCTTCCTGGTCTGAAATCGCTGCTCACAGGGCACTGAACCCTTGAAGATAACCATTATGAGGCCACCTGCCAGGGCCTGGACTGGACACTGGCTTTCACCTGGCAGGTAAAAGGCCTCAGCATTCCCCACGGCGAAGCCTGAACTAGCTGGGCCACTCTTGGGCCACAAGCTAACCCTCTCACTGCCAGCCTAGGCTGCCTCTAAGACCCTTCAGCTTGGACCCTCTATACATTTACTCCTACCTGAGTCCCTGGGCTCTCCTTTCCTGGTTTTCACAGTGAGCTTGTCACCATTAATAAGCAGGGACCACTAGGCAAACATGTTGGAACACCCTCTGTGCCTTCCAGTGCAGATGTGCTTCCCCCAGTCTCCAATACCGCCGTCCCTGTCTCTGTCCCGAGTGCTGGAGAGCAGCCCCCATGCTATGACTCAGAGCTCAGCCTTGCAAGGACCTATTCAGGGAATGAGGCATGCAGAACACAGACTCGGATATGGATGCTGATTCAGGCTTTTGGGAAGTGTTCCTTTGTTCACCAGTTGTCATTTTTTGATTGAGCAGCTTGCTGTGTGCCAGGCACTGAGACAGAGATGGGCAAAGCATCCTCCCCCTCCCCCCGTTCTCATGGGGCTTATGGCATGGTCAGTCACACTGGCTGATATTCAATGACCATTTAATTATGCTCTTGTTTAAACCTCACGATAACCATATGAGGCAGGTACTTTTATTCTCCCCAGGTGAGAAAACTGAGGCACAGGGAAGTTAAGTAACTTAGTCAGGGTCATGGGACCTGGGAAGAACCAGGGTTCCAACCCAAGCAGTCTTGATCCAGAACCCCAGCTATTCACAACAGTGCTTTGCATAAGGAGAGAAGATTTTTGCACATAGCCATAGGGAAATAGAAAGCCATATAACTGATTGGAAGGAAACTTTCCTGGGGCGGAGGAAACAGTGTGTGGTAATGAGACAGGATCTCCTAGGCCACATCGGCAATCAGCCTGGTTCCTCACAGCTCCACCTCAGGCGCTGAAGCAGGTGGGCAGCATCCCAGGATGGAAGTGCTGAAGATCGGAGTACACAAACTAGATGTACATTCATATTGTTTGGGCACCTTTACAAAAACCCTGTGCCCAGACCACACCCCATGTCAATTAGAATCTCTGATGTTGGGTTTGGGGCTTGATTTTTTAAAACTCCCAGATGATTCCAATGTACAGATAAGATAGAACCACCGGGTTAGACCAGAACCTCCCATCAACAACCATATTCCATCCCTGAAGAGGCTGTAACCTCCCTTTTCCTCCTGCTCCCAATGGCTGTCGGGGGGGTGGTGTGTGTGTGTGTGTGTGTGTGTGTGTGTGTGTGTGTGTCCATGAGAGCTGACAGTTGGCCGGATGGTGGGGTGTGTGTGTGTGTGTGTGTGTGTGTGTGTGTGTGTCCATGAGAGCTGACAGTTGGCCGGAAGGGTGACAGAGGTGTGTGTTACCAGACAGGGACTGGCCTGGAGTGGGTCTGCCTCCGGCCAGCCTGCAGTGTGTGGGTTCTTGATTTCATGTAGGAAAGATTTCACAAGATGAGTCCAGGTGTGTTTGAGAGTGTTTATTAAAGCTGGGGACAGTGAAACGAAGGAATTAGGGGAGAGCCTAGGAGGTGATCTGCTTTGGCTCCCTAGAAATGTTATAGAAAAGAAGTGAGCCGAGGCAGGGCTGCTGTTAGCTCGCTGGGAAGTCAGAGAAAAAAGAGGCCCTTCAAGATAGGATCAGGGAGTGAGCCTGAGTCGAGCTGCCACTGCCCACTGCTCCCCGGTTGCAAGTCTCATGGGGACCCTTAGAGTTTAGAAAGAAATAAAATGTTCACCCTGGGAAGGGGCATGGGCATGCTCTAGAGCTGGGGTGGGGAATGTCCAGCCCATGGGCCATAAATCATTCGGTCTTGCCCTGCCAAGGCAACCTCAGGCAGGACTCGAAATTCAATAAATCTAGGAGCTTTTTTAAATAGCTAATTTGTAAGTTGATAATTTTGTATGGCCCACAAATGATGTTATAAAAATCCAAATTTCCCTTGGCAGAAAAAAGGCTCCCCACCCCTGCTCTAGAGTGAGCCTGCGTAAGTCCCTGTCTGGAGGGCTTTTTTTTTAAATCCTCACCTGAGGATGTTTTTTCCATTGCCTTTTAGAGAGTGGAAGCGAGAGGGAGAGATTGATGTGTGAGAGACACATCGATTGGTTGACTCCCGCACGCACTCCCACCTGGGCTGGGGATCCAGCCTGCAACCAAGATACGTGCCTGGAAGGGGGTGAGGAAAGCCACCAAGGCTCTTTCCAAAGGGTAGAAAGCACAGCCTAGTGTGGTCTCCTTACTGCAGAGCTCTGAGGCATGGAAAGGGAAGGATACTGCAGAGTCTTCACTAAGGTCAGGGGCTAGGTGTCCAATCATCGTGGAGCTGGAGTGGGCAGGTCCAGGCAGCCTCTGAAAGCCCTGGGGCAGCAGGGTGACTAGAGCTCCTGGTTGACTGAACAGTTCTAGAGAGCTGTTGGACAAGTATCCACACATAGCCTTTGGCAGACCAGTCAACCTGCTCCCGGGCATACATCCAAAGACAGTTCACACCAGCCCTTAAAGACAGGTGGAGGCCACCCGGGTGTCCATCGCTGGCAGAGTAGAGAGGCAGAGTGGGTGGGACCCAGGATGGTGTTTTAGGCAGCAGTCAAAAGCAGACAGATCAGGCATATACAGGGCCTTGTGGGTGGATTGTAAAATACAGTTTAGTCATCAGCACCATTAGTATTGGGCACTGGTACCCTTCCCCACAGAAAGGAACCGGGACTTCCCGATGGCTGATACCAGGGCTGTGAAGGCTCGAGATGAGTCTTACTGGAAAGTAAGGGAGTGTATCCAAAAACTGCCGGGTGTTCTAAAGTCACAGGAGCCAGATTGAAGGGGCTCCTACTGGCTAAGGCTGGGACAATTTGAGCACCAAGATAATTAAATGCAATAATGAATTATAAGAAACCTAGGCGTCCATATTGATAATAAATGGATAGATGGGAGAGAAGGGAAGTCCCTTGCTTAGAGTAATGCTAAGGGAGTCAGAAAATCATCATTTTGTAACCAACATGAAGAGCAGATCATGCAAGAATCATCAGTGGATGTTGAATCTTGGGGGTAATGAATGCTAAATGTTGGCAAGGAGCAGGATATTTGCATGCTCTTGTCCCCATGTTTTGTTTCTCCATCCATTGGGGACACTTGGCTATTGTGAGTAGTGCTGCTGTGTACATTTGTGACTGAGTATTTGAGGACCTGTTTGCAGTTCTCTCAGTTCTACCCAGGAGTGGAATTGCTGAGATAAATGGAAACCCTATGTTTAACTTTATTTTTAAGGATGCTTTTCTGCATGTGGTTGTAATGCCCTGGGGGACCCTGATGGTCCACACAGTGCGGACACCAGGGGCTGAGCCCATGCGCAGTGGGTGATGGAGAGCTGCTCCCACCAAGTGTCAACATCCTTCTGGGCGCCAGCCCCCTAATCTATCCCTCTCTCCCCAACAGATGTACCTGTGGAGAAGCTGGCCGCCATGCCCGCCTTGCGCAGCATCAACCTCCGCTTCAACCCACTGAACGCCGAGGTGCGCGTCATCGCCCCACCACTCATCAAATTTGACATGCTCATGTCTCCAGAGGGCGCACGGCCCCCCCCACCTTAGGCCTCCATCCACTTGCCCACCCAGCAAGGGACAGAGGCCACTTGGCCTGGCACCCTGAGGGGAGGGAGTCCGAAGGGCCCTTGGGAGGCCAAGCTTGTGGGGCTGGGGATGGGTGGGCCGAACAGTGCGTGGTGGGAGGGGGTGCAGTGCTAATATGGTCCAGGATAGATAGCTTAGTAGTGGGTCCTGTAATGCCCAGAGGAAGGAGGCAAGGTGGGGACTGGAGCTGGGACTCTGGGCATTCATAGCCTCTGTGCAAACTTGGGCAGATCCCCACCCTCTCTGAGACTTATAATTTCTGGAAAGGGGTGGTGGCAGTGGGCTCCTTGGAGGCTTTTTGGGGAAAACATGCCTCCAAGTTACCCTCAAATACTCAGTACCTTCTGAGCTCACAGCTGAGCATTGCTGAGCATTTTCCAGGCCCTTGTGGGTTGAGGCCTTGCTTCTAGTGCTGAGAGCCAGTCGCTGCCCTCAGAAGAATAGAGGACAACCTGCATCTATTTATTGCTTCCTGAGAACCAACCTGCTGAGGCCCTTCTCAGTGCCCATCCTCAGCCCTGTGGGTCCCTGGATTGGTGGGAGCCTGAACCAGGAGTTGTGGGAAAGCTGTGGAGAGAGTGTGGACACTACAGCAGGGCTGACAATGTTTACATAGGAGCCCAAGGGCCATCAGGCCAGGAAACTGGGGAGCAGATCAAGTTGGCTCTGTCTTTCCTCATAATTAAGAAATCTCTGGAGTGGGAAGCTCCCTCTCTCCCTCTGGAGTGACCAGCTGTGCCTGACATCACCCCTTGAGCTGCAGGAGAATGGCCAGAGAGGAACAAGGCCATTTGCGCCTGTGCCTCCCTCAGCACAGTCTCCCTCTGGCTGCAGTCTGGCTGCCTTGTCATTGGTTCATCTGGAGGCAGAAGGCACTCTGGACCATTGGATTTGTAGCCAGCCAGCTCCCAGGCCACCACCCAAAGTCCTGATAACCTTGTCATTTCTAGGCTCTCAACCTGGAGTCAAGGGTCTGGCCAGGCAATAGGGTGACCTACCATCCATGTTTGCTAGGGACATGGGACTTTCAGTGCTAACACGGGGATAGCACCAGCGAATAGGGACAACTGGTGGCTCTACCAGGTGAGGGCCTGGGGCTCTTGTTTTCTGTGACAATACCTGTGGTTTGGAAAACCCCTGACCTCTTGATCCTACAGGTATCTACCTCCCACCTTCTCATCTGTGGAGCAAGCAGACCAAAGCCCACCTAGTCTGGACTTTTGTCTGAGTCTCTTGGAAATACTGGAGTCCCCAGGACTTGGGGCAAACCAGGCCACCCAAATCCTACATCTGTGGACCAGTGGCCACTCTTCCACAGCCTGGGTTAAGCTGTTCAGAGCTTAGACCACCACTCAGAGCACTAATCCTTTCTCAGAATGCTCCCATTTCCTTCCCCTTCCCCAGCCCTGAGGCCTCCTGGGTCTTGGCAATCTACCGACAGGTTGGTAGATTGTAGGCCTGTCACTGACCACTGGAAAACTCAGTGTCCCAAGAGATACCCTGTACACTATGCTCATCTCCCAGGCCTGGTTGGTCAGGTTCTGGGAAGAGGGTTTTCAGGGTGAGGAGACCAGATAAGATCTCTAGGGCTCCTGAGTTCCGCTGGGGACAAGTGAGGGCTACAGTCTAGCCCAGCCTGGCCTGTCCCCATTCACCCTGTGTCCTGGAGTGGGGTTTCTCCTTGTTGAAGAAAGGGTGCATTTTCCTGATATGCAAAAAGGCATTGCATGGCCAGAGCCTTGCAACTCAGCATGGTCTATGGGCCAGCAGCAGCAGCATCCGTGGGAGCTTGTTAGAAATGCAGGACCCAGGCCCAATCCCAGACCTCTGGAATCAGAACCTGCTCCCCCAAAGATCCCCAGGTGATTCCTACAAGCACTTTACTGTTTGAGAAGCAAGGGCCTGGGGTGGCCCTGGGAGGGAAGGGTGGAGTTTCTTAGCTTTTCCTCAACATCAAGTCTGTGCCCATCCCCCTCCCTAAAGCAGCCCTTCACCCCCACCCCAGTCCTCTTAGATCTTTCCCTAGTCTGTGTGGCACTCCCATGAAGGGAGCGACCTAGAGACATCAGGAGATGAGGGTTGGGTTCATCCCAAATGCCAAGCTTCTGCTTCCCCAGATCCTCATTTCAAGCCCTTCACGGGGGTTGTTTCTGGAAGCTGTTTTCTACTCAGCTTGGAGAGGTTGCCTGGCTTCTCTGGGAGAGCTTGGGCCAGGTCAGAGCCCACAGTGTGAGCCCTTAGCTTCGGTCTGCAATAAAGAATGTGCTGGTTTCACCTGCCTAGTTGATTCATTCTCACCACACAGGCCCCGTAGCTTGGGTGTCAGACCTGCCCACAGGAAAAGAGGAGGGGCCACACCGAGGTGGTACTGAGTGGAGTCCCAGCGAGGAGGAAGCGATGCATGCCCTAAAGCTATGCTGCTGCGGAGCAGCTATAGGTCGGATGTGGGGACACGTGTATACCTGGGAAAGGATGAAGGAACCCATTGTCCCCTAGTTTTTCTTTTACCGATGCCAGAAAACTGAAGACGTGAAAAGGAGGGAAAGATAGCTTTTAAAAAAACAACTCTGAACTGCTAAGATTAATTTTGACCTCTGTTAAAGTTCCAGAATAAATGATCAAACACATAGGAGACAATAAAGCAATCATGCATCTCAGCATCTTTTCAGAGGACATCCTGTACACTGGCAAAGATAAGTACAAGAGCATTTGTTTCCCAGTGCCAGACTGGAAACCATCTAGATGCCCATACATTAAGTAAATTAAAGATCAGACACACCTGCAATGGCACACTATGCAGACATTAAGAACTGTGTTTAGGATTTTATTTCCTGGTATGAAAATAGGTTCACTGGCTACTGTGAGTAATAAAAAAGAGCAGGTTTTAGAACATGTGTCCCATGATGTCCTTTATGCAAAATTACACAGGCTTATTATTTATGTATGTAAAGTATATGCAGAGAGATGGTCACTAACATCTGTGTTTGAATTCTCCTGCTTCTGAAAGCATACCCTAAGACCAGGACTTGGGTACAGGAGTTGATTTGGGAGGTGATGCATAGAGGTGGAAATCAGGAGAGAGAGATGGGAGAGGGAGAAAGGAAAGAAATGGGTGCATTATTGAGCTGGGTTTAGCTGTGGGCAACTGGGGGTTCTACCCCTCTGGGGAGCCTCTGAGGAAAATGTAGAATGCACCCGAGATCTGCCCCACATGAGGTGGGGAGCTGACTGCTCTCTGTCCCTCACCGTTGGTTGAAGGTTGCTCCTCTCCTGCACTTTTAGGTGATTCCTGCTCATGGCTTCAAAGAAAGCCAAGCAGAGAGAGCCCTGGGTGCAGGTGTGATGGGACGCTGGAAATACAAGGAGCTGTCCACCCCGGCTAGAACCTTTGGGCTGAGATGTGGCAGGAAGCATTGGCCATGGGTATTGTTTTATAATAAGCACATCATTTTTTATAAAAACATTTCTCAGAAAGAAAGGAAATAATGTATTGCTCAATAAAAGTTAATATTAGTGCTCACTAACAACAAATCATGCTAAACCAACCAAATTTCCTCTTTCAGAGTGGGTTTCTGAGAGGTGGAAGGATGAATTAGGGAATTTCAGCAGGACACCACAGAGACCTTCCACGAAAGCCCAGTGAACTGGAGAAACGTAGAAAGGGGGGCTGGAGGACTGACAACAGGCTTTCATTAGAGGCTTGAATGAAGCCTAGAGGTTCCTCAGGCCCTGACCTTGATGTGACATTAAGTAATTTCGAAGGAAAATAAGTCATGCTTATCAAATCTGTGGCAAAAGCCATAACACCCACAGAGCAACAGATTCAAGATGTGGGGTTATCTCAATGTGCTGGAATGCTGGATCGAAACCAAGAAAACGAAATGTAAGTGTAAGTGAAATGCGAAGTCCTGGATTTAGGTCCAAAAAATCAATCGCATACATTTCAAATGGGAGAGATCTGGCTTGTATTCTTGAGGAAAATTACAGGGCGAATCAAAATGGGCTGGCAGTGAGATGGGCCTAGAAACCCTGTTACCAAAGAGCCCCTGGGATGTTCTGGTGGGAAGAAGGCAGCAGAGGGGGGTGGTCCTGGGGACAGGGGCTCATTCTTGTTCTGGGTGGTTCCAGGGAGCATTAATGGGACAGGTGGGGGCAAGTTACAGTAAGACAATTAAACTCGATGTCGGGAAGAACTTTCTGTCACTCGGGGCCAGCCTAGAAGCATTTCTCATCCAGCTTGATCAGGGGGACCCCAGGAGCAGGAGGGGGAATTCTTGGGTGGCTGGATCAAAAGTCTGGCCTGAGGGTCTCTGAGGGCCCCGAAGCCTCCTCCCGATACCTATGGACAGACACTGCCATGTGCAGAGCTTCCTGCAGGGTTCCTGGGGCCAGCCAGGCAGTAACTCCATCAGGCCTTCCCCCCTCGGCCTTGGCTGCGGTGTTGTGCTGTGTGATAAGTAGCAGAGGACAGCAAATCAGATCCACTACCCACCCCAGTCCCACCCAGACCCCAGTCTAGTGGCTTCCTCGGAGCCCCTGGCAGCCTCCACAGCTGCCTGCCAGGCCTCAGAGCTCTGTGGCTGAGGGAGGCCCAGAGGCTGGGAAGATGCACCCTTGCGCTGGCTGGAGGTGGGTGTGCTGTGGGGAGGGTCCCAGGGAGGGGAAGGAAGTCACTGGAAAGAAAGTGGAGAGGAGTAAGCCAGCTGGCCTCCTTCCAGCCCAGGACACACAGATCTATTTTAGTCCCCTTGTTTCAGTCAAGACACCGGGTTACAAGAAACAGAAACTGGCTCTGGCTAACTTGATCAACAATGGGTATTTGTTGGAAGAGTATGGGTAGGTCACCCAGTGGTAGGAGATGTGTTACTAGGACCCAGTCAAATCCGAAGCAGAAGAGGTCAGATTGACCATCCTTCAGGCAGCGGTGGGTGCAGACCTGACTGACAAAGCCTGGAAAGTTTCACGCAGGGAGGAGGGCTGACTCCCCAAGTGAAACATCACAATGCTAGAAGGAGGGGCCATGGGTGCAAGATGGGCCACACCTCAAATAAATTCCCACTGCTCCCTGAAGTGTGTGAAAGACATTGAGTGCACTTTTTGGGAGAGGATCTGAGGCTTTCAAAGACTGTAGGTTCCATGTAGAAAGAGACCATTTCTTGGTATCAGGAAAAAGCCTCCGTAAGCATCTGTGAAATAAATTCAAATACATTGAGGTCTCAAAGAGTTTGGTGACCTCCAAAATGTTGAGCATCATGAAACCAACTTAAGTTCCTGGTGGTCAGGGCCTGTGTAATTGAGTGGTTCTCAAATCTGGCTACATTTGGAAATCACCCAGGGAACTTTTAAGAGAAATACCAATGCCTGGACCCCACCCCAAGAGATTCTGATTCAGTGTGTGTGTGCGTGTGTGTGTATGGGGGGTGTCTGTATTATTAAAAGTCATGTGATTTTGATGTGAGTCAGAGTTTAGAACCACTAATGTTGTCAACTTTTAAATCACATCAGAACTTCCTTCTGATGAGAAGGGTCAGAATGCAAGCTAGTGAAAAGGAAACTGAAAGTCACTTGAAACACCTCCTGTGGACACTTTTTTTGTCATTCAGGCACACACACACACTTTTACACAGAAGGTAGTTTTGTAATGCATTACTAATTTATAGCCATTACTACCCGTGGTCAGTATTTCCCCCCACCGTTAGATCTGCTCCTTAGGAAAATCCCTAGAAGTGGACCGTCTAGCTGTAAGAGCAGGTCCCTTGTCAGGACACTGGGTGGATGTACCCCAGTTTCGAAGGCTGAGCTGCCTTGTACGTCACTGACCCCCAGCAGTACGCAGCCACACTTGGCCCTCACTGAGCACTTTTCATCTCTGACCACCTGATTGATAAAAGTTTACCCCAATGTTCTTTTGAAATTGCATTTCATTGATTATAGATGAACATTGTTTAATGTGCTCTTTAGCCATTTGTACTGTTTTCTACTTTGTGCTCTCAGCAGGCCCTATATTGTGTTCTTCAGCGGGGCCCCAGTGCCACTGGGCCCGGGCTGTGTTCCCCTGGGAGGCTCTCAGGAAGTGGGTGTCCAGTGGTGAACCCAGGTCTCCAGTGTGGGGCTGAGCTCCCGCGTGGTACCAGGAGACCGGCCAGCAGGTGGCGATAGCGATGAAACTATTGGTGTGAGGGCTGTGCCCTCCAGGAGATAACCCGACGGGCTCTGCGCTCAAGGCATTCCTTTTCGTGGTGTTTTCTCTCTCACACATTAGGCATTTCAGAAAGGCCCAGGCCAAGAGTATTATAAAAATATTATCCTCACACCCATTGTGTAGTTTAATAGTCAGTACTGCTGCTACTGAGCTAACCCTATTAAGAGTCATGTACCTGGCCTTCTCCAAGTTTTCATCCAATTGTGTCATCGACCCCTCAGCACAACCCCTTTACCAGTGAGGACTCTAGTTCCCGGAGAGGTGACATGAGCTACCTGAGGTCGTAGCCAGGATGTGTGTTTCCATTTTAAAGATGAGGGCTCTGAGTTCCCACAGCGGCGAGGTGGTGTCTTAGCTCAGGCTGCTGTAACAATACCCCAGACTCAGTGGCTTATGAAGAACAGAAACCCACTGCTCACAGTTCTGGAGGCTGGGAGGTCCTGATCCAAGTGCCAGCAGGTTTGGTGCCTGGTGAGGGCCATCCTCATGGTACACACGCCACTCACTGCCTTTGCTCTGCTCTGGCCTGGCGGAGAGAAGAGGGAACTTGCTGGGGCCTCTTTGTAAAGACACTAATCATATTCATGAGGGCTCTGCCCTCCTGACCTAATCACCTCCCAAAGGCCCCACCTCCAAATAGCGCACTGGGGATTAGTTTTCAACACGTGAGTTTTGGGGAGACACAAACATTCAGTCTGTTGCCTGAAGTCACCAAGGAGGAGGGAGAAAGGAGACCTGGGACTGCCCAGCTGTGTGTATTCCCTGCCTCAAGGGCTCTGGTCCAGGTCCTTTAGTTCTGTGATTCTCAAGCTGGGACCATGGATCAGAATCACCCGGAAGATGCGTTAAAACAGAGATAACTGGGTTTCTGATTCCCCAGATCAGGGGCAAGGCCTAAGAATTTCCATCTGTGACAAATTCCAGGTGATATTGGTCAGGGACCGCACACTGAGAACCAGTGCATCCCACCCCCACCTTTGCACCTCCTGTCTGGCTTGTTTTCGGTGGTCCAGGACTTGGTCTCTGAGATCATCAGTGTGCCCTGGAGGCAAACATTATTATATCCTGAGACCTCCAGGAAGCTCTCCCAGTAGGGGGATGGCTTAATTGGGTTCAGCAGATGACGTTTTCACGGGTGTAATGTGTCCACAAGGGCACCAGGCAGATCCCAGATGGATAAGTCAAGGGTGCTAATGAGATCTCCGGCCTCTGGCTTAGAGCCCAGGTGGGGCGGGAGGCCCTCCTACCTCCACTCCATCTCTCCCCAGCCCAGGGGAGTTGCCAGGAGTAGGAAGATTTTCCTCCTCAAGAAAGGGTCAGTCTACAATGCTGGAAACCGGCCTACGTGTGGAGCAGGTTACTCCCAGACAGACTGGAATGTGAGCTCACCAAGCCGTTCTCAGGTTGAGGGAAAGGCAGCAAGGAAACAGACAGACTGGAGTCTAGCCAGGCAGTTTCTGGCAATTTCCTCTGCCCATCCACACCCACAGATTTCCCCGGGTCATGGAGACTGATCCAGAGTTGATTTTTTTGAGGTTCAGCAGGGCAGAGCTGCCTGGGGACAGGCTCCCAACAGACTGTGATGAGGGATCTTTCGGGAGGACCCTGGAGAAGGCCTTCCAGCGCCAGCAGCGCCCGCTTCGAGCAGGATCCTGGCATCTGGTGTCAGGATTCACCTTTTCTTCCTTTTCCCCTTTGAACAAGTATTTATTCAGTCAGCAATCATCTGCTGAACCATTTACCGTGGGCAGGTACTGATGAGATGCTGGGAATATATGGCTGCCAACAAGACAGGGACGATCCTGCTCTCCAGGAGTTGACTTTCAAGGGCAGGGGGAAACGACATGAAAACAAATAAAATATTGACAGATAGAAGACAATACATAGGATGCTATGAGAGATGATAGTGGGCACCTACTTTAATAAAACGATCAGGCCCGGCAGGTTGTGGCTCAGCAGTTGAGCATCGACCTGGGATCCAGGAGATTGTGGTTTGATTCCCGGTCAGGGCACATGCCCGGGTTGCAGGCTTGACCCACAGTAGGGGGTGTGCAGGAGGCAGCCGATCAATGACTCTCTCATCATTAATGTTTCTCTCTCTCTCTCTCTCTCTCCCCTTCCTCTCTGAAATCAATAAAAGATATATTTAAAAATAAATAAATAATAAATAAAGTAAAATAAAACGATCAGGTCAGTCTTCTCTGAGAAGACCACATTTAAGCTGGGAGCTGAAAGAGGGAAAGAGGCAGAAGGAATAGGAAGAGATGAAGACCTTGGGGCTGAAAAAGTGAGAGTGTGTAGGAGCCACCACAAGGCAGCCACAACCTAATGGGGAGAGTGTTGGAGGCACTACAGAGGTGCCAGCAGGAATTAGACCGTGCAGTGAAGAGTCTGGGTTGTATTTGAGATGCAGTGAGGGGTCTAGGCAATAACCTTTAGTGGCTGCTGCTGAAAAGCTGATGGGGAACTCGCCAATGGAGAGACCAGGCGGGGAACTCATCAGTGGAGGGACCAGGTGGACATCTCCTGAGCCCACTGATCAAGCTTAGCATCAAAAATGAGAGACCACCAGACAATTTGATCAAGTCTCCAGATCTAACTATCAATGACAGGAAATACGGGGGACAGGGAATAGAACTTGTAAAATGACATCATGAGGAAGCGATCAACAAAATCCAGTCTGGGAGAAACTACAAATGACCCAGTCATTTATATGACAAATAAATTGTAGTGGGGAGGTGGGCTGGAGACAGAAGGAGAACCTGGACACTGAAAGAGACTTAAGAGCCACATCGACCAAATCCAATGTGGAGATGGTGGTAGATTTTATAATAATGAACCTCAATGCATCACATTCCCTGTGTCCACATACCTTTTGCAATGCAATGTTTCTATTTCTCCTATCAAGATGTGGAAACTATTTCTCCCCTTGCTTGAATCAGGCTGACTTCATGACTTGCCTTGGCCCACAGAATGTGGCCTAAATGATGATGTGAAAATTCTGGAGCCTAGGTCTGGAGAAGCCTGTAGCTCCTCTTGCTGTCTTGGAACCCTGGGACCACCAAGCTCTGAAGTCCAGCCTAGCCTCCTGGAGGGTGAGAGGCCATGCGGAGGACAACCGAGACCCAGCCATTATCCAGCACTAAACACCGGCCACGTGAAGCAGCTCATCTTGAGCCGTCAGGTAACCACAGCTGCACGAGTGACCGCCAGAGAGACCTGCGGAAGGACCGCCCGAATCGCCAAGCCCCAGTGCTGCACCATTGCATTTTGGAGTGGTTTGTCAACATAATAATAGATAATAGAAACAGAAATCTTATTTGGATCCTCAAACAAACCAATTATTATTATTTTTTATAAATATATCTTTATTGATTTCAGAGAGAGGAAGGGAGAGAGAGAGAGACAGAAACATCAATGATGATAGAGTCATTCATTGGCTGCCTAGTCCACAACCCAGGCATGTGCCCTGACCGGGAATCGAACCCCGATCGCCTGGATCCTAGGTCGACGCTCAACTGCTGAGCCACACCGGGCCGGGCTAGTCTTCAATTTCTTATCTCCTCCTGGAAGACTTTCTGGTCTGTCCCCGGATTCTCCACCATCCACTAACTGATATTTTACTATAGCTAGTACTAGATGCTTTAAGAATTATTTGTTCTCTGGCAATTTCTTAAGTGTGTGATGCTATAAAACCGGTAGGTCAAAGTCATACAGACCGAGACAGCAAGGCTAGAGACAGGCCATGGGAGAGGAAGGAAGTGGTGTCAGGCAGGGGAGCGGTGGCCAGGCAGAGGGCTTGCCACAGTTTGGTGAAGTAGAAAGAGCACTTGGCTGGGAGTCGGCTCTAGGCCTGTGTTCTGGTGCAGGTTCAGTCCCTAAATAGCCATGTGACCTTCTCAGACTAATTAGATTGACATCTTTGGCCAGGAAACTGGGCACAGGTGTTTCTTAGAATGCTTCAGGAGGTTTTAATGCACAGTGAGGGTTTGAAGCTGCTCGTTTCCACGGCTTAGTGCAGCAAGACAAGTCTGGTTTCCAGGCCGGGCCTGGCTGCCTGCTAGCTATGTGACCCTGAGCCAGTTGCTGCACACCTCTGAATCCCAGTTTCCTCAACTCTCAATTAAGAGTGTGACAATGATCGATGCTGAGCTGTTCAATTGATGAAATGGCATGGCACAGACTTGTTCTAATATTGAAGGCACTGTTGGAAGGACACTGGTCAAGATGACATAGGGACAGCCTGCAGTGTAGGTTCCCAAGGTTTCCTGGAGAATCCATAACTAGCTAAAAATTGTTTTCTTTGACATGCCTACTCAAGGACAGAATGCACAGACTGACGGCTCTGCTGCTGGCCAGCAAGCAGTTCACCCCCCAAGGGCGCAAACAGGATTCATGTTTCCCATGCAGCCTGCATTCCCCTCCTCCCCACACTCTCCTGAAAATTCTTTTCCCTTTTTGTTCCTTGGCTACTGAGACTGGGAGCTGACTCCTCACAGGTGAGAAACCAGTTTGCTTACAAACTCACCTAATTGCCATCAGAGCTGTTCTTTGACACTAAGGTGTGATGATGAATATAAATGCACATACCTGCCAGTCCTTAGCCAGAGTTAGCGCTCACCTGGGAATGACTGGGACCCACCTAGCCCCCTGCTTCTCCTTCCTCCCTTGCACAGATTCCAGTACCTTGAGACGAGCACCCTTTCCGTGAGAAGCTGACCCTGCAGAAGGTGCCGGTCACCAACGTAGTCATCTGGGCCCTGGCCCTGCTCATCCTGTGCCCCTCAGCTGTCACACTGACTGTCCTGAGGGAGGGGCACTGCTCCATGGTGGATGCCCACAGCCGCTCCTACCCGCTCTACTCGTGCTGGGAGGCCTGGCCTGAGAAGGGCATGGGCCAGGTCCACACCACCTTGCTGTCTCGCACATCTAACCGGCATCCTGACACTCCTCCTTGTGGTCACGTATGCCCACAACGTCCACATGCTTGTCAAGCCCTAGTCCCAGTTAAGCGGGTGAGGAGGCAGCCGCTGAGGGCAGGCGGGGGCCCCAGCGCCAGGCCAGGGTGGTGCACATGCTGATCGTGGTGGCACCCTTCACACCTTCCAGGCCCCCGCTCTGGGTGCATCGACTATGGGCAGCTCAGGGAGCCGCAGCTGCACCTGGTCACTGTCACTCCTTTCCCTTAGCCCACTGGCTGGCCTTCACCGCAGTACCAACCCCATCATCTATGGCTACTTCAACCAGAACTTCTGCCCTGGCTTCCAGGCCACCTTCCATGCCCAGCTCTGCCCACTGCAGTGGGGGAAGCCACAAGGAGCCTACTCAGAAGGGCCCTGCGGGCTCCTGCATACACGGGTCTTGGTGGAGGGGCAGCCCAGTGACTCCAGCCTGCCCTCAGAGTCGGTCCCCAGCAGCGGGAGCCCCCAGGCCTGGCTGTCTCCGGCTGCTCACTGGCTGGGTGGCACACCATGGCTTGGCCTAGGAGGGCCCTGGCTGCTCCCCTCTGCCTCTCATCAAACCAGCCTAGGATATTTGAGTGGTATAGAGTGGGCAGACCCTGACTCTGAGGGCCGGGACTGGACATGTGAGACCTGGATGTGATAGCAGCCTGGTGTGGTTTTGAATAGGTGCCTCCCTCTCAAATACAAGGCAGTGGGCAGCTTCCTGTGATATCTCCTCTACAGGCACAGGAGGAGAGGGGAGGAGGAGCTAAGTCTCCCCAAAACCCTTCTGCATGGTAGACGTCATGAACTTCATCTCGTTGAATTCTCACAACACTTTGGGCATAGGCTTTCCTAGCTCCCTTCTACAGATGGGAAACTGAGGCCTGGAGAGCCGTGGCTAGCCCAGTCTCTCAGCTGGAAATCTCTCAGGAGCATGGCTGACCCAGTGCCCCTATGATCTTACCATCTCCAGCTGTCTCCACAAGGGCCTGTGAAGGTGGAGCATAGTGAAATGTATAAATGCTAATTAGGCTGCTGGAAAGAAGCCAAAAGCAAGGCTGGCCTGTACTTTGGATGCTTTGTGTCCATGTCCTGGGGTCTCTCCTGTGTTACTGAAACCAATCCCCTTGATTCCTTCCTGGGAGAACATGGTATGCCCCTCCTGCCAGCTCTGTTTGGTGTCTTGCTGGTGTCCAGGGCCATTCACTTCTACCCAAAGTACAACAGGACTTCACGCCTGAACAGCCGTAGAGCGTGCCCTGAACAGCCTGCATCACTACCTGCAGGTCCTCTGGGTCTTGCCTTCTGGGTCTGAGCCCTGTGGGGGGATAGGGGTAGGGTGGGGGTTCTGTCTTCCCTCCTCTCCTCATAGGGGGCCCACCACCATCACCCAGCCACAGGCAAGAACTTACAGTGTGACAGGCAGCTAGCTGCAAGGCCACATGGAGATGTCGGTTTATTTATTCATGGACAGGAGGAAGGGAAAGCACAGTGCCCCCTTTCTGCCTTTGGAAACACATCTGCTTGCTGGAGTTGCAAGCACAAAGCCTTCCCAAGGCCCTTTTCCCCTGTTCCCTCCTGGGAATGGTCAGAAGAATTTGGCAAACCGAAGCTGGTGTGCCCTTTGGGGCCTCCTAGAGGACAAACACTAAATCCCTCCCCAACATGGATAACTGGGACCCTAAAAAAGGTTGGGGACCAGGAGGTCCCTTGTATACTCCGACTCTCACCCACACGCCTGCATCACTTTGAAAAAACAAGGCTTCTCTCTAGGAGATGGGAGGAAATGGGATTGCCTCAGTGATCCCCGCAGGGCCCCAATAACCTGCAGCTAACTGGACATTCCCCCTCATTTCTATAGAAAACACAGTGTGGCTAGAATTTTAATGAATAAAAAAAGAACATTTCCAGGGCAGAGAATTGGACTCTGAGGCTTTGATTGTTTCCTTAATTTACACACAATGACTTAACCTTGTTTATTCCATATATAGGGGCAGAAGAAAATTCCTAAACAATTGTGTAATCCCTTCTCAAGCAAGTCCCCAGACACTGTCTCCTTTGATTCATACAAATGAGGGAGGCGGAGATATTGTTGTTGCCATTTCATAAACAAAGTAACTGTCGCTCAAAGGGGCCAAGGGCGCAGGCCACCGAGGGGCTGGGCTTGGGTTAGAATTTCTCTCCTGGTGTTTTCCTCCTATGCTGCATCCTGCCTCTCAAGGAGGGTGGATTGGGGATAGCGGGGAGGAAAGCTGGAAATTCCCACAAAGGTTTTCTGCCTAACGGTGAACCGGAATGCTTGTGGATCCAGCATCCCACCCTCAAGCTCTTGGCCTGAGAAATGAGTCTACTGTGTTGACTCTTTTAATATCCGGCCTTAACCGCTCAGTGTACAGTATCTCTACACCCATGTGTTGAGCAGGGAGCCAAGATACTGAGGTCCTTCATGTCCCCACCCAGTCCAGATGTCTGGGGTGATGGATGAGGGTCTCAGGAGAGGGTGTGCTATCCTGTCCCTCATTAACTAGTGCGTGTTTGGGCCCCCATTTTTGGTCCTGTATCAATGTTATGCGTCACATAGGCCACTTACGTGTCACATAGGCTAGTTACTGTAAATAACTGACTCCAGGCTCTAAAAATAGGCCCAAGAAAGGGCCATCTCAAACCCAAATGCTTGTCCTGTGGGGGGAATCTGTCCAGAGGCACTGTCTGGTCACTGTGTGTCTCTCCTTTAGCATGGCTTCCCCAACCACAGACTCACAGCCTCTCCGGGGGGGGG